TCCCTGTGTGGAGAAAATGATAGCAAAAGGTAAAAGCCTTGAGGAGTGGTGTCCTGACTCTTGACTACTCCTCCGGTCTGTTCTGGATTGGGGATGCCAGTTTAATGGAATCCCCCCTCCTTCCCTATGAACCTGTAGTTGATTTCCCACAGACTTTCTTCCAGAATTGTTTGTACAAACTGTGCATTTACTTCAATGGGACATGGCAGCTGTTCCACTTTTTGTAAATGTTATCTAGATTATGTGTGTGCATTTTGGTTTTTTTTTTTTTTTTTTTCAAAGCAGCGATTCTTCTGAGTAAAACTACCTGGTAATATAGCAAACATTTTTCTCCACAAATACATTTTTATTCCATCCTCCACGACTCCATCATGGTAGGTCTTCAGCATCTGTGCCTGTATATAGATTACATACAGCATTACACATACACCTCTTAACACAGTCATTTTCTCACTTGCTAGACTAGAGCTGCAATCAACGCCACATTTCCAACAAAAATGTAACTTTTCAGAACATGCATGATGCAATTTGGATATACAACTTAAATCCCAGTGAAGGTACTTAGCTGTCATATTAACAGCTTCTTACTTACATTTTTTTTTAAATATCAAATGAATTGGAGCAAACCAGGTTATCATGAATGTGTATTTTAAAAACACCACTTGAAAAGCCAGTAAAATCTGACTTGTTCTCCCTTTGGAGAGAGGTATTTGACAAGAAATGTGTTTTACTCATAAAGAAGTATGCTTGTATTGGAAATTCTGCATTAATTATTTTTTAACAGAAAAACAATAACCTCATAAAAAATAGAGAGCTGCCATATATTTGAGACTAGTGGTTTAGCAAGATATAAAAATGCAGGGTTATCTTCCTTGTTTTGTATTCCAAAAAGGTAAACTCCGTATTGCCTGAGTTAGAAGCAGCAAACTCAGTTTACTTGAGTTTACCACCGACTACATGAGCGGGACAGACAACAGCCCAGACAGCTGCATTCCAGATGGAAAGGATGGGCTTTTTGAGGGGTTAGGTTGAAAACGTTCTGTAAGGTTTCTCTTTTGGCACTTTCTGCATCTTGGACTGTTAAAGCAACAGATACAGTGGAGCCTTCTCTTCTCTGGGGAAGGAGAGAAGCTTCTCCCCACCTCAGCACTGTCAACTCTCAGAAGGAACTGTGTATGTCCTCTACTGGAGATGTGTTACTGGGACTTGCTGTGCTTAGAGCTGCGTTTGGAACTTCTGAAAGGAAAAGAATAACCCTTTCACCTCCCATCTTTCCTGAGTTAAGGGAATTTCTCAGAAAAGTTAGAGCAGCTTGGTGTCACAAATTATGCTTCATTTTCTGCCAAGGAAAACTGGATTATCATGTGCCTCTTCTGGCGTTTCCTTCACCACCAGTCCAAGGGTCAGTCATAGAAACCATCCACCTTGCAGTGCCACAGGCGAGCCTCTGATCATCCCCTCCAGCACAAACGTACAGGGCGCAAGCTCAGACTGTTTTACTGTACATTGTTTGGGGACAATCATCTCTGAGGGATTCAAATGCTTTCGTCAAATATTTCACATGCTCTGCTGCATCATCATCTCCTCAGCGAGGAACCTTTTGCGAGCTCAAGGTGGGCCACTGCTGTCATTCATAAGTAAAACATGTTTGCCCCGGAAGCTGTAAGACAGAGAAACCTCAGATGTAAAATTCTTCTTCGTTAGCTGGTGAAGCTGGGCAAACACTACCACAATCATCTGGAGAACAAGGAGCTGCTCTTGAGGATTCTTTGGGCTGCTTGGGGAGAGATGCCGAGGTGAATGAGCTGGAAGACCATCCAGAGAGAGAAGGCAGTGAACCATCAACTGACTCAAAGGTATTGCACATGGCTGATACAGGCCTTCCGCTGGTGGCTGCCTGTTTATTCTTACCAACAGTTTGCTTCTGTGGGGAAAGAGAGGCTTCCAAGTCATTGCAAAATCCATTAAGGGCAGAGTATGCAGAGACGACAGACAGGTCTGAGAGGGACAGCTTCATCCCTGTGTCTACATCAGTCTCCTGGGCACCCTCCAAGTCGTCAATGTTAAGCCTGGGGCTGCATTTCCATGTTTTTAACCTGGTTGCAGGTGACCCAGTATTTAAAAACTGAAATGGTTCACTGAAATGAAAAGTCTCTGCAGCTGAGGAGCAGGTCACTGTGGGCAAGCAGAAGAGAGACTTGCTTCGCTGAAATGACCATGAGATGCTGGAGGCACTGCTGGATCTGCGTGTGAAGTCTCCTTGATCACTGTGTCTCAAGTCCTGCTGGGAGAGACCAAGATGATGACCAAGGCCATTTGCGTGATGTACCTTGTTTTGACCTATTTCTTTTGGTTGTTCAGGGACAGATCGGTGGCTCGGAGGAAGAAAGGCTGGCAGAGTGGTGAAGCGGGAATCTGCTGACACAGATGGGTATGGTTGCTTGTTCTGCTTTGCAGACTTCCTACACCAACTGCGTGATTGCTGCAGCCGGGAGAGGGAGAAAAGAAGATCACATTAATACAGAATTGGCAGTCTTACAACCCTAAGTCTCCATTGCTGAGTTGTTACTGCAAATAATTACGAAGCAGACTTCATTCAGTACGCTTGCAGCAAATGTTTCACTTCAATAACAAAGAGGAAGCACCCTGCCAAAATCCCAAATATTTACATAAGGAGCCTTGAAGACAACAAGAATAAATGACAGAGGAGCCCTGCCTTGCAGGCTGAATTACACTAGCTTGAAGTTCTCACTTACTATTGACTTGTTCAGATTCATTCATATTCTGTCTTCCAACATTACTGCCTTAGTGGACAGCTAAAGAACAAAAATGAAGAAATGGGAGATGTATGTTACCATCATTATTCTTTCTCATCTCTTCCTTACTGTGGTGCAAATGTTTTTATTTTTTCCTCTGAAACTTCAAAGAGCCTTTAGCAAGCAACCTCATTCTCTGTTGTCTCAATGGGAACTTACCACTTCTTTCAACTCTTTCACATTTTCACATCTGGTTAGTTGAACAGTGCATCCTAGAATGCACTTGCTCTCTTATCTAGCCCCTAATGACTTTAAGTACAGCTTTGGACACTTAATTTGCTTGTAGACATCTACACTGCAGACCTAACCTGATGGTTATGATCTGAACCTGGACCTGAATCTCATCCCTAGGGCAGCCTTCAGTTGTCCACCTGCCAGATACTTGAGCTTTTGCATAGGGACAGCAGCTGTGACAAATGAGGAGCCAATGTCCTTCTCAAGAAGCTGCTGGAGGCCAGGTGGCCTTCCTATGGGATAAACACTGATGTGTGGGTAACTGAACTGAGCCCTTAGTGTCTGAGCAAGCGTAAGGTTTTTCATTGTCCCACTTATCTCAGTAAAGGCTTCTAGATGTTTGCATTTTAAATAGTTTAATTTAAATTCTTCTTACTGGAATTTCTTACATTATACAAAATGCTAGATTTCTGTCCCAAAAGAGACAGTGGGACAAAGTGCAAGATCATACCCTTTAGTATAAACATTAATCTCAGCTATGGAACTTGTCAGTTGGAAAAAACAGAGGAGAAAGTACTAAGTATCTTGGTCACTATGTGCTACTAAAGTGACAAGGCTCTGACAAACATGATTCTGGGCAGTCTCAAGTGAGCTAAAAAAGTATTAATGCTTTGGCCTCATCCAGAATGCTGCACATGACTCAAATCATGCCTATGTGAAAAAGAATGAATTCAAACTGAGAAAGATGCAGCCACAAGAAAAAAATAAACCACAAAACTATCCATTAAAAAACCTGAACCACAAACCAACAAAAGGTTTCTAATCACAACAGAAGTAGAAGAGTCTTCTGGTGTGAGTAATGGACAAAGATGGAGCTTGATCATTTCACCAAAGAGATTATATGACATGACAAAGGGATGAGACCTGGCAACCGAGGAGGTCCTTTGTGTCCGCTGCCTCTAGAAGAACCCCATGCATTGCTGCTTCTCCCATCTTGCTAGTGCACATCACATTGTCTTAGTGACCCGGATCTGTCATAACCATCTTCTGGTTTTTATTGCAGTGATTTTAAAGGCAAAAAAGGATTTTCACATCTGCAAAAAAATGTTTTGCTCATTTGTGATCGTCTAGCTAGAGGTGATTTATAGGACAGCCAAACTATAGGAGTTCACTTAGGCGTTGTAGATGAATATCTATATATACATCAATGTATATGTAATGAGGCATGTTAATTCATAACCTATTTCTGTACAATATAATAAGCTGTTTTCCTTAATGCCGTAAAGAATTAAATGAATTAACAGGTAAATTAACCACAATAGTGTAGCAGTTCCATTAACTGATAAGAAATTGAGTACAAAAGAGTCAAATAAAATAAGTCAAATTGTCAACAAAACATTAACCAGAAATTGCTTTAGACCTCTACACGCAATGTATTTTATTTATGCAATAGGTGAGCTAATTTGTTCAAAAAATTACTCAGCAAGATACAAGGCTCGTGTCCATGAAGAAATTATCAGATGTTTATTAACTGAAGATGTTTCTGGATAACCCTGCAATAACAACTTGACACGCTGACAGTAGTCAACCAAATGACTCTCTTGATGAGTTTTTCAAGCAAACACTCCTCATTATATTGCTGTTTGCACTAACCAGAGGTACTATTTTTTCTGTTCAGTAGCTCTGACATCAGATACACTATATACATCTATACACAGATACACCATGCTCGCTGAATCAACAGAAGCACCTCTAGCACACTTCTCCTACCTCTCGGAGAGAAGATGGTGGATTGTCTGACCATGGCTAGTTTTTATGCTACATTCTTGTGTTTTCGTAGACTTAGTTGATAATTTGGCAGATTGAGCATTCAAAGAAACCAAGGATCCAAGCAAGTGCAGTCTTCTTGTCTGAGAAAAGGTAAGGAGGCACTTGGGACCACAAGCACTGGTAACAATTCGGACAAAACTGTACCTGAAAACACAAGGCTTTTGGGGACAGACCTGACACTTGCACTGGGGAGAGTTCTGTGGGCAGTACAAAAGCCTTGTCTTCACCTTGCGTGGATCATACCCTCTGTCTATACATATAAAGCAGAGCCCACGGACATCACAGGTAGGATTTAGTAGTCTAGTTAATAGAGCCAATGGAATCTGGGGAGCAATTCAGTTTTCCCTAAAGGAAATACCTGTACCTGGTTAGCCAAATTGCTCTCTAGGTCCTTGGGCTGTACCGAGTACACATCCATCGATTACAGTGAGAACACAGACTGTAGATCACACAAAAATACCTGCAGTTAGACACCAGCTTTAGGTGTCTACAATCTGCAGCTGAACCAAATCCTGCAGAGATAATTCTCATGTTCATTTTCCTGTGGTGTATAGAGGAGATATTTTACACTAGTAAAAGTCTCATGCATTTAGATGATGGTAATAATTTGTTATTCTTATTTACTGACAAAACTTTTAACAAGCGTTCCAAGGAAAAATTAATTTAATTTGGTTCCTCAGGTCGCTACTGGTGAGAGATACTGGGTTTGATTCAGTTGTGTAATTGTAGGTACCTGCTGTATCCTGCAAGCCCACGCACGGGTCACTCCATATCAGGGATTTCAGTGCCTGGGCACGTTGAATTTATTAATACAGGTAAAGTCTTAAGCATTTTGGGAATAAAGCACAGACACAAGAATAGCTGTTTTGAGCTCTTTCTAATATTTACAAACCTTCCAGTTTAAATCAACTTGTGTTAGTTTTGGATTGTCGATATGCAACACAATGACTACAAGTGCAATCAAATTACCAGTACTCAAAAGGATGTATACCCAAGGCATACCCTACGAGGGTGTGGAGTGGAGGGCAACACCAGGATAAATGGACGAGGAGAGATGAAACACCCCTGCTAGAAAACCCCAGGGGCTCTCACGTAGGAACTTTCTAACCAAAATGCAAATAAAAAGTAGAGACTCAAAGGAAAGGGGAAAGCCACTTCTAAGTGGAAGCACTTGCAATGGGCAACCTGCCCCATGCAGCCAAACAGCTTTAAGTACCTGGCCTAACTGGAACATACACTAACAAGAAAAATCTACCTTAGGTAAGATATCAGTTTTAAGGTTTTGTTATTTTAAACTTTTTTCCTAGCTCTTTTAACATTCCGGTGTACAGGCAAGAGCATTTCATTTTATACAAGGTATTTGCTGTTATTCCTGCTACTGGGCCACAGCTCCTGGTTAAGCCCAGTTGGCCCGGCAGGAGGTAATGGTGGATCAGCAAGGACAAGGGGACAAGTACAGCCTGCCCTTAGGATGGCTGCCTGCGGGGCAGGCCAAGAGACACCACTAATGCAGCTTATTTCTGAACAGCTCTGTTTATAGGAAGAATTGTTTACCTCAAGCCTTTTTTGTTTAGATGTGTTATGATTTAGAAGACCTATTTTCCAATGTTGCTCTTCATGATACGGGCAGAAAGGGGAAATAATAGGGGGAGATTTTTTAAACGTTTTTCATCTTAAAGCAGCATAACTGAAAACTTTCCTGACTGCGAGAATACTGGACTGCACAACTGTACTACAGGTAGAGTCTCAGAAGCTTCATCTCATGAAACACGAGTGAATAAAGATTACAGGCTAATCCTACACTGTAGAGAACTGGATTATGTGGACTAATAAGACTTTTCTATATCGACATTCTGTAGCTTGTCAGAGATCACAGAGAGGATTCGATGATTTAGCTAGGATTAAAACTCAGGCAAAACTAGCTCCTAGCCCCGTGCTGAGGCGGTTGACTGCGGTCCCTTGTACCACCGTGGCAGGGCACAGGGAGAGCTGCTTGCAGCCTGCGCCTTCATGTGATCGCCCCTCTTCTTTTTAACCTTACAGTGCCTGACAGTCCCATAAGTTCACACTGGATTTCCATGAGTGACTGCTCTCAGAAGAAACCGTGACAAGTAAGTGGAAGACAGTGATCTTCCACCATCCATTTGGCCGTGGGATGCTGAAAACAGCAAGACCTGGTTTTGTGCCTTGAGGACAGCGTGATGCACGTGCAGCTGCTCATTTCAGCAGAACAGCCTCCTCTCTCCTCCCCAGTTATTCCCTTGGCTTTGGAAGCAGCTGCACCTACTGTAATTTTTCTGAATTCTTTTATTTTTTAAGTCCTTATCTTCAGCCTTCCGACAGCTCGCTTTCCGCATTGCCTGTTAAGTAACAGGCTGCAGCTCTGTGGAGCCCTGCCTGCTACTGCCATGCTGCCTGCGTCTGGCACTAGCGCGGCAGAGATGCTGGAGAGGGGATCAGCCATCACAGAGGACAAAGACTCCATCCAAACCGACATGTTGATTTTGACTGAAATTTCAAATACAGGTTTTCAGACCTCGCCATAAAGACATGCAAGAAACCTGGCCATTGACTAAGATGACTGAGATAAGGTTTCCAACAGAACAGATTTTTTTCATCTGATACTAATCTGCTGCTCGTTTATAATCTCTGCACAAATCTT